TTAGTTCTATTAACTCGTTTATTATTTGTTAGCTATAGTGGGTGATTCAATAAGAATTGGATTTTGGTGTTCATATGGTCATCTTGAAATTGGTCTACATATTCTTCTACTCTGCTAGTTGATTTGAGTTTATAAACTGCAGAGAGGTAGTAAAAGAAATAAACATAGAATTTTGAAAAAAAATTGGGCTTTTAACTGCAGTTATTTGAATAATCACCATTAAAAATATTTATCATGGTGCTTATTATAATAATCACCGTGAAAAGTGGAATTTCCACGGCGATTTTCTGTAATCGCCATTAAAAATATTTATCATGGTGCTTTTTAACCATTGTGTTTTATTTTCATTTCAACGTCGATAGTATCTACATCGCCTCCAAAACTGTCATGGGAAACTTTAATTAACCACCGTTAAAAGCCTTTTTCTAGTAGTGAGAAAATTAAAGGAAGGGAACTATAGTAGGACTTGACTCATGAGTCACTAACTCACTGTATATATGTTTCCCAAGAAGAATAACTTTTGATGGTTGAGGCCGAAAAAGAAGAGAAGAAACAACTGAGTCTATTATTATATTATCACGTGAAGCCGTACGTTTGAGCATATTTCACTGTATGTTCCGCACCCAAAAAATTCCAAAGTTTGGTTTGTTGGAAGGATTTTTTATTGAAATGGAACAGGAAAAGGGTTCGAAAAGGCAACATGAAAATGAATGGGAAAGAAAAAGTAGTAGCATGCGAAAGAGAACAAGAAAGAGAATAGGAATGAGTTTTAAAATTATGCTTTGATATATGACAGAAAAAAAAATTAATGAAATGAAATCTCGATATATATATATATGACTTTTATTCGGGACGCATGAATTAAGCATGAAAAAGGAAGCCAGAAACATTGGACAGGCTACAATGCCCTAATAAAAATGGAACCAGTTGGGAATCTGGCAATTCCCTCCCGCTTTTCCATTTCCAAAGAACAAGTTCCTTCCAAGTTCCAATAAAACAGGCCTCAAAGATTTTTTTGTGAGGGTTATACTTCTCTTTATTTTGTTTGATCTCGGCAGCTTTCGCGACAAAAAGACTCGTTTTCCCCCTTCTTTTAGTAGCGGTGGGAGGAATCACCCTCGCCTTAAAAAAGACTAGTAGTCGCTTTTTCTTAGTTCCTTGAAAAATAAAGTATGCGTAGTGCAAAACTTTAGTTAAAGAGAAGTAATGGCCCAATCAAAATGACCCTTCTTTAATTTGCTGACTATAAAAGGAGAATGATGGGAGTACATTATGCACTGTGTAAAGACAAGAAAAATATCCTAATGAAAATAATAATTTAACGAAGTCCACTACTAATCCATTCTTTGAATTAATTAAGATAAGATAGTGCTTTTTCTCATGGAAAAGCAATATTCTTAAAATTCATAAATGATTATTCTTGAATTTATAAAACTTGTAAATTCATGAGAAGATCTATTCACGATTGCCTTCGTTGTCACCATCAAGTGTTAATGATTACTTGATTTTCATCGATGTACCAATGTCAATAATAAAATTTATAAAAAAAAATATTAGTTTCCCTACTTAATATAAAAGCTAATTGACTAATTCCAGTAGATTAAGAAAATTAGTTAAGTTAATTATTTGTAATAAATAGATGTTGTTTTTTTTAGAATATTTCTGCTAATCATGTGTATTAATTAAAATTACCATTTGATGAAATATTTAACATGTGCAACTACTCCAATGACTACTTTGAAGAAAATCGATAAATATAAAAGACAAAGTATATTAGAATCTTATATTTAAGATCAAATTAAATATTAATCTAGTTCTTATATAAAGACTAGGAGATAGTATTATTTATACATTTTAAATAATGCAACTCATTTTTCAAACTCCTTATATACACAGGAAAATATTGGTCCTATGGCGAATGCTCTTGTAAGTTTTAACAATGTTTTTCCCTTACTACTCACTCTAATCAATACTATCTACATTATTTAATTTCCTTAGTTTCTTTTGAATATTTCAAAAATTGAGATGACATGGCGTGGTTAACGAGCTGTAAAGGCTAATTATTCTTTGATGTTTTGTCCCCAGTTGTAAATATCTGTAAGCACTTCTTCTAAAGTTTATTAGTACTATAAAGATGTCTATACAAAAAGAACAAATTATTCCCAGAATATCATGAAGTTATAATATTGTGATAAAAGATGAAGAAACTTCAATTTATGGGCACCGAAACTCATGTATATTTTTTTTTTATAGATTATGTAGTCCCGTTTTCTCATTTCAAGCAAGATAGTTTGAAAAATGAAGATGTAAATGTCTAAAGGATGAAGAAATAACTGTTTGAAAAAGGACAAGGTTGAATAAAATGTTGCCGATCTTGGAGCACGTATTAGCCCACCTTGTCTCCAAAGTAAGATTCTTTTCTGCTGATCACTTTTCAAGAAGTGATACACACACACACACACACACGTGCGCGCTTAAAATTTATGAATTTGCCACATTTAGTGAATTGTTTTACATACCTATTATTTCAATTATTTCCATTTAATACACTTCTTCATTTCTCTGCAACATAGCTTTGGTAAAAACTGAACAAATAGCAAGAAGATAAACAGGTAAACAACACACTTGAATAGTATACCTTTAGTCTTTAATATAAGAGTTAGTTGAGTAATTTGAGTAGATTAAAAACATTAGTTAAGTTAGTTATTTATAATAAGTAGGTGTTGTTTTCTCTAAAATACCTTGCTAATCATGTACATTTAATATTTGCAACTACCACAAGAACTATCTTAAAAAAATAGATAAATATGAAAGATAAAGTGAATTAAGGTCTTATATTTAGGACCAAATTGAATGTAAATTAGCTCTTATATTAAGGAATAGAGGTAATACTACATTAACAAAACAAAAAAATTGCAAGGAAGGAAACTTAAACATGTCCAATAATGATATATGGTTATCAATCTTCAAGAGATTAGAACAAACTAGGTATATATGATTCTTGGGTATTGATTATAAAAATGTGAAGAGATGGGTTGTTATGGTTCTTGACTCGTGGGTCTCCCCACTAAGCATATAAATATGTCCATTATTAAGCAACTTGATATAAAATTCAATAATGGGGGACTTTTGCTGTGACACAACCCTCCACTTTTGGAAGAGTCATCACTACTTCATTAAAAGAAAGGAATGAAGGAAGGAGACAAGCTAGTAATAATTGTTTTATTCATATGATTATTAAAGAAAGCATAATACATTGCCTTAGATTAAAAAAAACGTGACTCAATCAATTGATGATTATTATTAAATAATGGAGAATCGCAAGAGCACATCGAATAAATACGACAACAATAACATTGTAACGATATAATAATATAACTAAGTCCATGAATTATTAATCATCTTTAAAACAGGACATTAGTGTGTTCACACGTGGAAAGTTTCTTTATTTGGCTTGTCACTACAGCATTCAAATGCCCAAGAGAAGAAAAAACTGATGTCTCATAATTATTATGCGCACATATGATCATAAGAGTTAACGATAAGTTGTTCTAATGGCAACCCTACTCGTTATGTTTGTACAAGTTTTCAGGTTTGAGCTTCAGCCAATTTTAACCTTTTCCTGCACCATCACAAAGCAATTATATATAAAAGAATTGGAGAAATTGCATAAATATAATATCTCGGGCTAGCACTATATATATGAATTACGACTCTTTATAAACTTCATATTTTATGTTGATTTTATGAATTTTACTTTCATTATTTTTTATTTTATATTCTTTTGCAAGGTAGAATATGCCCACATACGAAACTTCCAATCTTTTGGAAAAGCAATCTCTTTTCAGAAAGCGACCGAGGGGTTTGGCGACCGGCGATCATCATGTATGAGTATACCACAGCATTATTCCTAGAATGCTTTTTATTAGTAAAAAAAGAAATCATTTTTTAAAGATTTCTTGTATGATAGGACTGTGACCGTCATTTTGGCATCTCCCTAGAAAAGTAAAAGGGGATAAAAAAAAAAAAGTATCCATTAACAAAGAATGTTTGGCACATATATTGCAATACAATCAAGCATGGGATGTGGAATATAGTGTGCTTTTCCTCATGATTTGATAAATCTCTTTTCATTCTTTCATCATTTTTGTCGCACCCAAATCTTGGTCATCCTGTAAAAAGGGGGAAAAAAAAAAAGAGGAGTCACCACCAAAATTTTAAAGAGTTAATTTGGGAACCTAAGAAAAATGTGGTTTACGAGAACCAGACAGGGTTCGAGAGTCGATTGTGTGTGAGGAAGATGTTAGGCAATCCACAACACTTATTCAAGAGAATACACTACTACAATGAAGACTTTTTACTTCTGTTTTGCATGACTTTTTACGTCTGTTTTGCAGGGAACATGAAAAGAAGAGACATAAAAAGTACCCGCTTTTTTCTTCTGTTTCGAACAGACGAGAAAAGTTGTAGTATTCACGTCTGTTTCTCTAAAACAGACGTGATTAAACAGACGTGAATTCACGTCTGTTTATAATAAAATAGACGTGAATTAACGTCTATTTATAATAAAACAGACGTGAATTTTTATTATAAACAGATGTGAATTCACGTCTGTTTTAGATAAACAGAAGTAAAAAATCGATTTTTTACTTCTGTTTCACTGAACAGACGTGAATGTCCTATGTTTTTTTAAAAAAAAAGATTCAGTTAGTATATACTACTTCCCCTACAGCCACAATAGCCATAATAGCCACTTTCTAGCAAGTTGAAATAGTATGAACCAGTCAATATTTTTAGCCAAGACATATCAACATCATAACTTCATCTATATAGACACATTAATTAACTAACTAGTCAAAAAAGAAGAACAAATTACAAAAGTCAATATTGATCCTATTGTCTCTAAACATAAACTTGATTAGTCCTTGGACCACAATTCTTGAAGCAGTTGCTGTGCCAAAAGGTCTCGGATGAAGTTAATGTCATCAATAGTATATGACCAATCATTATCAAAAATCTGTAAATTGACAAATGAACAAATTTAAACATAGGAAGAAAATAAAATAAGTAACAATTCAATTTAAAAATTCAACTATTACAAAACTAAAATTATATTTACTTACCTCATCAAATTTTGTAATACATCCGCTCTCAATAATCTCAAACATATAACGGATAATGTAATATCCGCACTCTGTTGGCCCTTGTTGCTTAGCACACTGCAAATCACAAGGAAATGATAATCCAAATTCATATATAAAATAACTGCCATCAATGAAAGAACTTCAATTTAAAGTACTCACACTAGGATATACCCAAGTTGTTGAGCCATTTTTGCCGGAACGCTTCCCACCGGTTATATAATAAGTCTTTAAAGCCCTATAAGCAAATGAAAGCACAAGTTAAATAATTTATATTGAAAACAAAATTATTGATCTACATTAAGGTACTTACGTGTTGAAAAAGCCCCTCATCTCATTGCTTGGACGACGACCCAAGGGATCAAACCAGTAGATGACATTGTCAATGGGACAAGAAACACACAAACTCCAATGACAACTGCATCATAGAGTAAGACTTATACATTACTGGATATCACAATAATTCTTAACAATTTAAGTATGTATAAATAAATATAATTAAGCTACTTGCCCTTCAATAATTGGTGCCAAATAACAAGGTAATTTAGTGTCTCCAATCGTATTGCCCACATATTTGATTCTCCTATCTAGTGGGTTATACTTCTTCTAGACACTTGCAGGGCATAAATATCCATATAAATTTCTCTTCTCCATTGATGACATGCATTTGTTATGGAAGAAGCTATCATTGAATTGAAATAAGATAATTATTAGTATGTGAAAGTAAGAAATTAGAAATTTAAGTTAGAAATGAAAAAGTAAACTTACATGATTGCTAATTGAACCCATGCTATATCCAACTCCTTCAAGGATAAGAAATCCCTGATGTCTTTGTTGTTAAGGCCAAAGAAATATGATTTTTCTTCACCCACAATCCCTACAGGCATCTTTATGTCAACCTTGTTAATTGTTTTATATTCCTCATATAATTGTGCCAAGCAGGGATATCTATTAACATCATTCTGGTCCTAATGAAATATCAAATAAACATAATAAGTATTATAAGTATTATGTTAAAAAAAATGCACACAATATAGAATAACATTTTCTTACCATCACAGGTATTATCTCCTCATCAACAAGGTGTCTAGGCCAAAGAATGAAAGTTCCAATTGCCTGACCTAACTTCACAACTTCAGCAGTCGGGAATGGCACATCCGTACCTGTCTCTCCCTCTCGAACAGTCGTAACTGTAACCCTCACTTGGTCCTCTTGAATATGTTGGTGATGGATAGTGCTCCCTTGATTGTAGAGGAGAGCGTCAACAACAACACGCATCCTTGGGACCTCTAAACGAAGACAACAAGGTTGTCCAAAGTCCGGCGTGGGACTACTAGGATCATGCTCTCCTAATGCCCCCGGTGGATTACAACTGTCTTTAGTGCTAGGAAAGACGGGGGAATCCTAAATGAGAGAAATGCAATTATTAAATTAAATAAAAAAAATGTTGGTAAAACTCAACATCAATTTAAGTGAAATTGATTACAAACCTGGGGTGTGCATTGTTGTTGAACTGTCCCAATTTGCATGCTAGAGACCATAGATTTCATCTCATCACGAAGCTCAGCCATAAGCTCTTTTCGAAGTGACTGGCGTAACTGGGCCTCAATCTTGACCTCTAGCTCAGATTGAAGCTCATCACAAACTTGGTCTCGAAGTTTAGCTATCATCTCATCAGTGGGCTGACTTCGTAGAAAAGCTCGTGAAGTTTGTCCAAAATATTGGGTAAGACCAACTGTCCTCCCTTCTCCTCTAACGCATCCGGGGTGATCAGGCTTCCCAATCACTGTCGCTAAAACGTCCATCCTTCCACTCAGACTAAATGAACCTTCACTGCTTTGCTCTTCAAGTACCTCCTATAACATTTTAAATATGATAAAAATTAATGATAGTATAAATGAAAATTAATGATAAAATTGAAGGAATATTATCATAAGTTAAAGTTATTTGAATTATACAACTTACAATTTTTTTAGCAATCTTAGCAACTGCTGGATTAATATATTGAGTCTTCTTCATCCTTGCTCCCTTCCATTTTCTATGATGTGGAGGAGCAGGTGGGGTCTGAACAACGATACCAGGATCAGATTTTGCAACTTCCTGCATCGCCTTAAAGTCATTCCGCATGATCCTCTCCTCAAGCATCTTGTAACCTCCACGGGATAAATAGTGCGGATATAAATTTTTGGCTTGCCTTTCTTTATTCATCACACTTAATTCCCGTGGAAAAGAAAACAAAGTAAATTGAGTAAGTGAAGTAAATTAAATCAAAATTAAATGTTTTATAAGGCAATGTACCTGAAATTTAGGATCATGCCGTGATGCCACAAACCTCCTCCAATCATCTGGATCAAGGAAGGAGTATTTTTTGCACGGATCATCATCTTTCTTAGGCCCTCGCACATACTGGCTCGTGAGTGTGTGCTTAAAATCTTTCTAGCGCTGACGAACTTGCTGCAACAAATGCTTTTTCATTTGCTCAGTACGAGGGATGTCATACGTTTGCTGCAAAGAAAAATATCTATGTTTGAGTTAAAGATCTTAGTTATAACTATATTTACAATAAAACAAATGAAATAAAATTAGAAAGTAACATATCAAAATATATTCCCAAATCCTATCCTTCATCTCCTTAGAAATTGACTTCCAATTAGGCCATAGAATATTAACTTTGCTTTGGGCAACGAAGCCTATATAGCTAATGAATCTGTCCTTCTCTTCACCAATTGGATTCATATAGGCATCAAAATCCACATGCTTCTTCTGAATACGATCATGACGTACTGCTAACTTTGGTAGCCTTGTACTACCTCTAACCTTCCTTCCTTCCGGCTGATTGACATCATCAATGTCATAATCCTCCTCCATATCTCTATCACAACCCTCCTCTATATTGGCATCAAAATCCTCCTCCATGTGCCTGTTGAAAAACCAAAATTAGATAAATAAGTAAATTATAGTGAAATGTATTAATATATAAATAATATCAAGTACATTGCAATGAAATAAATGAAAGAAAATAACACAAGGTACGTTGCAAAATTACATTACTTAATCTGACTTAATGCATTGTCCCATATCCCTTCACAATTATCATCTCTTGCAGCATATTCATCATTATCTACCAATTCTACTTCACTTGGTCTAGGCGGATTTGAAGCAAAAGGTGGTGTCTTATCAAGATTCATGGTAGGATCACTGTCCTTCTGCTTTTTACTTTGAAGGACAATAGACAATTTTTTATTTGCTGGATTAGTAACATAAAATACTTGTTTTGCCTGGCTTGCTAAAATGAAGGGCTCATCTGCATAACCAACCCTGCCAAGATCAACTAATGTAAATCCAAATTGTTAATCTATTTCAATACTATTGTTGTTGACCCATTTACATTTAAAGACAGGAATCTTGAAATTGGTGTAGTTTACCTCCCATATCTCTTCAATAACTCCATAATAAGCCATAGATGCCAATTTGGGGTTTTTATCTTTCGAACTCGAAAAATGCATCACTTCATCAACCACCATTACCCCACTATTCTGCATAGTACTTTTGTCATCTTAAGCTTTTGTGTAGAAGAAATATCCATTTATGTCGTAACCACTCCAAGTGATAACTTCAAAACAAGGACCCCAAGCTAACTATTTTATTGTATCAGATACATTGGCCTCTCTCAAAACTTTTTCACTGAACCATGTTATAAATGTTTTGTTATGCTCATTAGCTATTTGCATATCACTTTTCTTTGGATACTTTTCTTTTAAACTTTTTTTGTGATCATCTAAATACGACTGCACTTCTTCCATATTATTCAATATGTATAAGTGCACTTGTAACACTTCTTCACGACCTATACTCTTTACCTTCAGCCCCCTGATTCCTCTACTTGTACCGTTTTCATGCCGAGATGGTGTCTTAGCTATAGATAGATATGTTTTGCAAAATTCCATAGCCTTTTCTGCTACATACCTTTCAATAATTGATGCTTCAGGTCGATAAGGATTTTTAGAATAATCTTTTAAGACTTTCATGTACCTCTCAAATGGATACATCCATCTTAGAAAAATAGGACCGCAAAGCCTTATCTCCCTCACTAAATGATCAAATGCACCCTGATATCAAAAAATACTGGAGGAAAGTGCATTTCTAGTTGAGACAAGATAACATAACCCTCATTTTCCAATTCATTCAATTTCTCTATGTCAATGACTTTGCTACAAATAGCATTGAAGAAGATACATAATCTAGTTATAGTGCTCCTCACATCATCTCTCATTGTGCCTCGAATAGCTATGGGTAATAGTTGTTACATCAGTACATGATAATCATGAGACTTCATTCCCACTAACTTCAAATCGTGCATTGAGACAAGCCTTTTCACATTAGAAGAATACCCTTGGGGTACCTTGATGTCATGCAAACACCGACATAAGCTTGTTTTTCCAACTTTAGACAATGTGTGGGCTGCAGGTTCCAACTTTAGACAATTATGGATGTAAGCGCTCTCGAATGCCCATTTCAGCCAGATCAAGTCTTGCATTAATTCCGTCTTTAGTTTTTCCAGATATGTGCAGAATGTGACAACCGTTCTTTTAAAACCCATTTAGATCAAAATTTTCAATCTATTCGAACGATTAACCATGATAGAAAAGAAGAAACCTTAAAATTTTAAAATTTGCTATCATGGTTAAAAGAAATAAACTTATAATAAGAGTAACATCGATCGTTACCTTGGGCCTTGGACTTCCAAAGTCCAGAAATATCATTCAACCATTAGCCCAAACCAAACTTATATTTTCAAACATACGAACTGATAAATCAGTTTAATATAAACTATAGAGCTCATTAGTCAAAAGTCAACACTTTCGAAGCAGCGTTACATGCAGAGTCTAAAATGTCTCGGGCCTCCTCGCAGCCCCATCATACCAGATAATAGTAATTAAAAGTATTATTTTACATCATGATAGTAGATGAGCCCTATGTGGCAATATATAACAAGTCAGCACATAGAACAAAAGCCGGGAGGCTATACAAGCTATAACAGCACACTATGCCTCCGGAGCCTTCCCTGATGGGCCACCACCTGAACTATCGCCTGAAAAATGTTAAATCACGGGGTGAGACAAACGCCTCAGTAACCAACTTTCCAACTCATCATACATACTAACATGTGCTCGTGAGGTGTCAAGTGGGATAATTATTAAACCTCAATATCTATATACCAATGAAAATACAAATATGTATA